TGCAGCACCTGCAGTTCTAGTCTGGATGACTTTTAGGATAGAACCAGCACCAAATACTATTCTAACATTTAATAATGAGCAAGCAAGCATCAAAGCTGTTCTTGGCTCTGGAACTGTATTAAGTTAGAGTAGCGTAAAGAGTTGGCTGGAAGCATCTCTGCACTGCCAGGTGCATGTTACTTGTAACTGACTCACAACAGGCTGGGGTTTGCACAGTTGCCCATCACTGTATTCACTTGCAGTCCCTTCTCTTTCATGTGACAACTGCTATTACATGAAACTCTTAGCTGGCATATACCATATTAGAGTCCTTTGAGGATGCTCTCTAAAGTCCTTTATACTGCCTCCCCCTTCTCACTGATGACAAGACTGAAGCTGTGTCTGTGCTAAAGAGCCAGCAACAATGCCTGTGTCTGCAAGCTGGAGGCAGCTCCTGGAAGCCTCCTTACAGAGAGATATGGGCATGTTATTCTCTCAGTGCTACTGGGTAAACAAACTGCTACAGCCAGGAAAACATCAGAGGTGCTTTGTATGCCTGGTTATTGATGCTGTCAAAAGGCAGTTTTTAGAAAGTCGTCAAATTCCAGTGGCTACTAGTAGGAGCTGCATGTTTTTACACTGCAAAAGCAACTCTTCTGAGCAAATCAATCAGGTTCCTGTTTCTTTACAGAAACTCAGCTTCAGAATACGAGACTGTTCTCCCTCTCCTGCCCTAATAATACTGATAAATACCTAACTAGTGAAAAAGCCTGGCTTACTTGCTGTCTTAGGAGGGGAAAGTGAGACCAGAAAAGGGGCTGTCTACAGATTACTTTCTCCAAGAAGATCTTTGCTTCCAACAAAATTTTCAACATTTGGACTTCTCAGTTTAGTCCTCAAAGGTACTTAGTGGGTTTGTCCTACCTAAAGTACTTGCGCAGGGAAGTATCTTCACACAGGCAAGTTGGGCGACTCCTCTGCCCAACCACGTTCTCTTAGTTTTTCCCTGTACTCAACTGTTGAAGCAGTTTTGAACAGTTTAAAGAAAAAACCCATAAACATCTAAGCAGGAAAAAAAAAAAAAAAAAAAAAAAAAACCCCAGTTTTTAAAACAGAAAAATTACTAATCTAGAGCCTGGAAGAATTGCTTACGTGACAAACCTGCTTGCTTACATTTTGCCTTCTCACCTGTCTCTACTTTTTCACTTGAATGAAGTCTTTGTGGGAAATGCAGGCACAGAAAAGCTTCCAAGGCCTTGAGCATACAAGCTCAGAGATAGAGATGGATACAGTGTTTGACCTTAGACCTTGAAGAAGGCTTGAAGGTTTAGAATAGACTAGTGAAACAGACATGAAATAAGAATAAAGATTTGTCGTTTAAGCAGAAATATGTTTTAAGCAAGTAGATGTAGGCCTCATATAAATGAACAAATATGCTAAGCAAGATAGTAGAATACAATTAAAGTTTCACAATAGAACTTGTTGTAGAGTTGATAAAAAGTAGAAGATACAGCAATAAGTTTCTGTAGAGTCATATGATTGATAGAGAAGATGCATTGTAGCAAATCATGTAAAACAGCAATTAGAAATTGGTTATGAAGATGCTAGCAAGCTTTGTGGAAGTTTAGAATAAGAAATTTATGAAAGACATTGTAACTAGAATTATAACGGCGTCTGATACAAGGCATCTAATGTGTGGCTTCTAATGTGATTATTCCATGAGACTGATTTTGCAATAAACCATCTTTTAAATGCCTCTTCAGTTGACCCCATCTTTCTTTATCCTGAACAATTCTTGTTTCTTTTCATTTCCATTTCATGTTTATGTCTCTTAAGTCATTGCAAATGTATCTCATATCCTAGCTAGTGTATTTTTTTAATTGCTGGAGAGGTAAATGTTCTACCTCTGCATTTTGGAAGTGGGCCGAAAGGCTGCTGTTATCTACATCTGAAGCAATGACAGATCCTTTGCCTGCTGTGAACTGGACAACTTTTCCCCACAGCACAGCCCAGTCCTTTCTACTTATTTGTTTTGATGGGTCTGTAGATTTGCTTTATACGTGAAGAGGAAATAATTCACAAATTCAGATTTCCAAAGCCGCAATAAATTAGTGTAAACAAAAGTAAATAAAAGACAAAACATGCATGTTAATACAATTAAAAATAGCTGTCTGTACTCCTGTTTTTATAACACGTGATTTAGAGACATGAAGATGCTGGAAGTTGTAAAAATGAATACCATCTTCCATTCACATGAAGTGTCATTTTCCCAATCTGCATATCTTCCCCACAGTGCAGAAAACATCTGAGGGCAGGGAGAAATGTGAGGAGGATGCATCATTGGTAAGTCTGCAGCTGATACTGTTACAAAAGGATGCCCTCTTCCCAGCAAGCAGGGTCATATTGTGAGAAGAGAGGTGCTGTAAATTCTTTAGTAAGAAAACGTGGGCCACTCAGAGAATAAGTTCACACTAATCTACAGAAACAGTTTAGCTGTGGTACTGTCCACAGTCTGATATCCAGCTGCAATACCTGGGAAACCCACCATCCAAAAGCAATGCCTTAATTCTTGGTCACACTTGACCTGGTGTTGGGGTCCAAGCTGACCTCTGCTCTAGCTGTCAGCGTGGTGACTTTCTTGGAAGGCTGGTCCTGGAGCATGGCCCCTGCAGACACCTGGAGCCATGTGCCAGCCTCAGTATGGCAAACCCCGCTGCTTTGAGGGCGAAGAGTGAACAGATTAAATGAAGACCGTTCTTCAGAAGCAGGATCACAGAACATCCCTTAAATTCATCAGGGTTTGTTCAAATACAGGAAGATGCTTTCTGACTCACTGACAGAACTAGCATGATTTGTTGGCTTATTTTTTTTATGGATAATTGAACCCAGACAGAATGATGTAGACTCAGGTGTTGAAACCACCAGTGGTATTGGGTGTGCAATAAATGGAACATTGAGTCTTGCTTTGAATTTAAAATTAAACTTGGTCATTATATTGGTTTAGGAAGCAACATTTGCATCAGCTGCTGCCTATGTGTTTTTTCCCCTTTCTTTTCAGACTGAAAGCAATCAATCTAAAAGCCAATAGACTAAAAATATCTGATGGATATAATGAAAAAGATGAAGGGGGACAGATGACACACAGATGAGTTTTGCTTAGCAACATTTAATAGTGAGTAGTACCACATTTCTTCTTCATGTTCTGTGCCTTTTCATCCACACCTCCATCTAGCCTCTCTCCTGCCAGTGCTTGTTTTGTTGCAGCCTGTAAAGTCCAGACACTGTTGAGGTGAGGTGGTAATGGCTCAAATCTGCACAGGTCCTGCACCTGTGAAGGTGCTGCAGGACCTGCATAGCCTATATAGCTCTAAAGAGCTTAGCAAAAGTCATGGTCATTTGAAAGCTCAAGAGCTTCTGCAGCACTGAGACTTGAACTAGTTTCAGAAACATTCCCTCAGCTGAGCTGCAGCCCAGCCCTTGCAGGCAGGGCAGGACTGTCAGCACACCACAAGAGAGCAGGGTCCAGGAAGGACTCTGCGACTTCAGCACAGGAATCCTGTGGCGCAAGGCAAGAGTACAGAAAACTTCCTTTTCCTTTCTTCAGTACTAACCCTGCCTTCATCACCAAATAGACCAGAATTAGCTGTACCCAGGTGCTTGAGGAGAGAAGGAAAGGGCTGTGGATGTCACTCTCCATTTTCTAACAGGAGTAACCTGGTACTGAAGAGAGTGCCGTGAGTCAGGAGAGGTCAATCCCATAGTGCTGCATTTGTGGTGCTGTCCTCTCCAGAGAAGGTACAGCTGGTACTCAGGTCTTGCCCATGAGGTTGAACATTCTCCAGGTACAGGCTTTCCCAGGTCACATCTCTAGTATTTCTGGATTTGGGATAGCTGCTGTTTCCCTGGAAGTGGGTAGAGGAACATTTTGTATTCTGCCAAGAGCTACTTGCATCTAGACAGTTTAACCAGAGCTCATGGAAATACTTTTAGCTAAAACAAATACTGAAGTTAAACCTTTGTATAGTTTGAAAGTATTTATGGGTGTGGTTTACCAAGCAGTTCAGGCTGATTTGAACAAGGATTAATTCTGAAAAAAAGACATTCTGGACTTCCCTCTTCTGTCAATTCTCATTTCTGATCTAAGCTGTAGCAGCAAGCTCATTGGCCTGCAGACAATGCCCTCAAAGCCAAATGACAGCTTCCTCCTGATGGATGAGTGAGCTGAACTGGCTGAGCATCCCAGGTATTAGTGTGGACCCAAAAGACTGCAAAGCAAGGGTGGATAGGACAGGTCTTGCCCTTCTGGTGCAACACAGCATTAGATTAATTTAAGAAACCCAGGAAAAATGAATGATCAAAATTTACAGTGTTGGGACTAGAGTGCTGACTTATGGCAGAACCTGGTTAAAATCTCTTCTGTTGCAGGCTAAGCAGAGATTCACACCAACCAGTATCTAATACACCTAGCCTTACATATACACATCCTATATAAACTCTCTATTACTCTCTCTCCATTTTTGCCCAAACATTCTGGACGTAAGTAAAACTAAAAAGTAGAAAAAAGCAAAACGTGAGAAGCACAGAAGTTGCTGCAACAGCGTACCTAACTGCTGTCATCTCCAGTTATAAACACACATGCACTCTCACACACCAACAACAAACAGGTGACGTCAGCCTTGGTCACATTTGTTGATCAGTTGCCAGCAGTCTCCTGATCAAAACACATGGACTAAGGCTTTGAACTGTGGCTATCATCCAGAAGAGCACCTGCTCTTCTCTGCCCCAAACGTGGAGTTATGTTAGCTGCTGCATGCTTAGTTTTGTTTACTGTTTCACACTAACTACACATTTACAAGACAGCTTAGGTAAGCTGAACACAGCACTTAGTAAGCTGGCAGAATTAGACTCCCTCTTACAAAACAGTCTAAAGGGACTCTCAGAACTGGATGTACAGGGCTCTCCAGGAAACCATACCAGAACATGGGCTGGCTTTAGAAAGTGTGGCTTATCTTATTTTCCAGGTGCCTTGTTTACCCGGACTGCGGATGAACAAGGGCCTCCCTTTTCCAAGACTCTGCATCATGGGGAGTAATGAAGAGGACTTGTCATTGCCTCCAGCTGCCATTTAAAGCTGTCTCTGCTCCTTGCAGAAAACAGTGGAGATGTTTTCCAAAGGTGAGTGCCGTTTTCTAGTCTGATTATTTCAACACTTAATTATTCCGTTCCCATTCCTCAAAGCGTTTTATTTACTTGGCTTGTTGGAGTTGGTAATCACAGGTAGTCTTCAGGGAGCAGAGATTAGGAGAAGCACATCTGGCTTCCAAGTTTTGAAACTGTCACTGTAATTCGATGCCCTGATGGATTAAAAGCTGGAAGGAAGGACTAGAACTATTTATGATATAGCAAAGCTACACAGCTTGTGAAATTTGTTCCTTATGCAAGAAAATGAACCTTTTTTTGACCCTAGACTCTGATTTCAGTCCTTAGCATCTGAACACTGCACCTTTGATCAACAGCTACTAGTACATAATATACTAGTTCATAAAAGCATTCAACGAGGTTTAGAAGCCACATAATTCACACATCTCCTTCTTCTTCACATTCCCATTCTACCTTCAACACCAGTTTCCTTCCAAATAATTAACAGAAGTAGCAGGAGATGACAGAGGATATTGAATAAAGTCTCACTTATGGGTTACACTGCAGCCCTCCTCTCCCCATAGGGGCATCCAGGCCAGTCCCTTTGTCATGTCAACTACTGCATCTCTGCCCATCAGGAATAAGACGGTGCTATTCCTGGCTGATGCTGGGAAATGTGAGGACACAACATGTCATCTGAACTTCCCTCTGCCATAATACTGTGGCAGTGGCTGTAAATACTTTTTACTGTAAAACATGATTTGGACAACACTTCTCATCAACAGTGGGACTGATTCAAACACTAATAAGAGGAAGGACATCCTCACAATTAAGCATGTGTCAGATGAAAACTAAGTGGCAGAGGCAGTTTAATAACCTTGCACCACACCCCGCCTGATGGCAACAGAACACTCAAAAAATCCCTGTTGTTGGCAGTGCTAATAAAGACCTTGTCAGAATTACAAATGTGACACCATGTGTCTCCAGCTGGGATTTTTAAATGCTGGGAACCTCCCTCTGGTCCACAGTAGAGAGTCTTCTGCTGGGCACGCAGAGGAAACACATACCAAGCAGAGGAGGCAGAAATCAGACTCTCTTGGCATGGAAGACTGTGCTCTTGGACAATATTTTCAATGAGCAATTCCAGCCCAATTTCTTAGTTGTCTCGTTTCACAATATAGCCAAAATCACTTGCACTACAAGATTTCCATACTTCATTATGTTTCCGAGATTTGAAAAAGACAAATTAATTCACCTGGCAGATAAGTTTTAAAACTGGAAATTGGAGAAAGAGGATACAAACAGCTTCTTGTTACAACTCAAATTACTGTATTTGCAACTGATCTGCTTCCCAAAATTGTCATTGTTTGCACACTTTACTTTTTGAGGTTAACCTCAGCACTGGCATAGAAAAGTAAACCCTTGAGTTGGCTGAGATTAGGTCTGCAGATCAGTTTCTCCAAGCTACAAATGGAAATTGGCTTTAGCTCATGCAAAATGTGGCTCTGGGCTGGGTGGATGTTAATAATAAGGTTGCAGTGGCATAACAGTCTTCATACCTGCTGTGTATGTGTGTATGCAAGGCTCTAAATTCCTCTTAGGGAAGGTGGTCTTCCTTCAGCCTCTGCTGGTGGCAGGGAGAGGTGGGGCTGAGTGCTGCAGCGGGCCTGCCTAGGTTGTTCTTCCACACCTCCCACATCATGTCTGAAGGCGTGGCTTTGGCAGGAAAACCCAGCTGCCCCAGTAGAAAGGTGCAATTTTGCCTCCCCCTCTCCACTGGGAAGGGGTTGGGAAGCACTGTCCTCGGGAGCCCCCCCTTCTGTTAGCCCTTGTTCTGGACTGGTTTAGGGCATGGGAAGGTTGCCATAGTGCCTTTGTCTGGGGAGCCATGTGGGTGTGACCTGTGGGGAGCACCTGCTATCTTGTTTGCAAGAGGGTGAATACATTTCTGTATGTAAAACACCTTCTCTCTTGGTATACTTTTGGTATTCATTTTGTTGTTATTGCCTGTTTCTTACTCCATTGTCTTTGGCATTCAGGAAATTGTTATCTCAGCCCATAGCCTCTGCCTTTGTCCCTCCGTTACTGGAACCTTTGGGGGTCAGGGCAGTGGTTTATTTGGGTTTAATTTCCTGCTGGTGCTAAACCACCCTAACTTCTGTCTGTGATGCAAAGGCACACTGAACTCATGACTCCACTGTGGTATCGCTATGTAGATGTGTAACAAGGAGTTGTTGCTTCAGATTGATAGTGGATTGCAGGAGTGTTTTAATACCAGTTTTTGAAACTAGGTTTTCTAACAACAGAAACAATTTGCATATTACTTCACTTACCAGTCAAAGTAACAGTTGGCAGAAAAGTCTCTTTTAGGAGATTATGGACAATTTCTGCCAAAGATTATGTTTTTCTATTGGAGAAAACTTTTCTTTTCGAGATTTCATTGAAACACACTAAAAACAATGTGCATCAGAGATGATGATGATAAATATTTGCTGAAAACAAGGGTTTTCCAGCAGTTTTTATATATGTTGGCTTCACTTCTGGAAATAAAAAGGTGTAGTCCAATGAACTCTGAAAGAGGAAGGAATGTTCCCCTTAGTGCTTGATGCAGTATTGCAACTACACACGAACATCAAACTTGAGTTTAGTGAGACCCCTTTGTGATTATGAAGTCTGCTCCTGAGCTCAGTGGTGCAATGTGAAAGATGCTTTAAATCTAGCACCCAATAAAACATAAAGAAAGAAAGAAAAACATAGAACAGTTGCGTCTCTATTCTCCTCACCAGATGCTATATTTTGGTGTTTACAGGTATATCCATGGGAAATTCAGTGATCACATCCACACTGGTGAATTTTGGTGTGCAGGTGAATTTTGCTGGAGCTGGGCACATGGTTGAACTGATAGAAGAAAGAGGCCCTTAGGACCATCATGTGTATCTAACAAGCACCCAATGCATTTGCTTTGACCTGTGCTCTCCTTCTATGCAATGCCTGGCTCACCTGGTGCCACAGACAGTGTTTCACATGAGTGATGAAGCACTCTTTCCTGCAGTGAGCAATTTAAAGCAGAAAGGTGGCTCTGATAAGGGAATTGTGAAAATACTATGCTAGCAGGGAAGACTCAATGTTTAAATAACTGAACATCCTCACTGAAGATGAATGTATAAAAAAAGGCAGAATTTCTCTCTGGCATGCTTTTCTTTGGTAACTGTGGGAGTTCTGTAGAGCTTTCCTAGCCATGATAGTAAGAAACAGGACAGCTGCATGGTGCTAAGTCACAGTTGAGGAGGTTGTTCTTCCTGTAACTCTCCTTCACCTTCTGCTGAAAAATATTCTCTCTGTTTTGCTAAGTACAAACCAACAGTATGTCTTGGAGAATGAATGGCAAGTGGGAGGTCACATGGTAGCTTTGCATTCATCTATTCATATCTGTCCTGTAGACCCAGACTGGCACCTGGATAGGTTCCTTTCTGTATTTTCCTGGGATGGCAACAATAAGTGATTTACAACTCATTTCTCAGGCAGGTGTTATTACCCAGGATAAAAAGGCTTGGAAATCTTCCTCTTCACATTAGCACTTGCAAGCTTTTTGCCTTGATTCAGTTCTTGAAGCCTACATGGAAACTGTGCTAATCCATCAGTATAAACATTCATGCAGCTCCTTTCTGAGTCTCTATAAGCAGATTGATACTGCAGATGATGCCTTAAGCTTCCTCTAAAACCTGTACTGGTACCTGACTACCAGGTCTAGCAGCTGCAAGTGATATTCCTTCTGACTGTGAGCAACTGAGGAAATTTAGCCCATCTTATCTGATGGTAATTTGGTTATGGTGACTCACCTTCTTCCATGTTTTCCAGGGTAATTGTTACAACATTCTCTAGCTGCCAGCACAATCCCCAGGGGTCTGTAGAAAATTTTTATTTGAAGTGTTCTAGTTGTAGAGGGTGGTTGTTAATCTCTTAAGTATAACCAAATCCGAGTCTAATCCTAGCTATCAGGTGTTACTGGGAAACACTTCTAAAGAGATGTCTTTCCTGCTTCTTCTGCAGATACATACCTTAGGAATGATGAAATAATCCATACTATAGCTTAGGAGAATAGGATATGTTTCTGTCCTACAACTTGTCTGGACCTACACAGATTCTCATATGCACTGACACATTGCCTTTGGCACAAAATTTCAGACTTTTACCTGTTGTTTTTCCAGTAATGAAAATTTTGGCTTAGCAATAATTGATTGCACACAGCACTCTGCAGAGTACTTTTTTTCTCACATTTGCAGCCAATAGAAAGATGCAAAAATGGTACAAAGTTAAAGAGCTATATAGGTAAATTTAGTGATGGCGGGATTCGCTACTAACCTTCTCTCTGCGCTTCTTTTGCTTAGCTGATTGCTACATCTGTTTTGACTTGTAAGCAGTCCTGTGTAGGGGGTCTGAAAGTGAAGCTGATTCATCCTTCATGGGAAATGGACTAGTCAAACTGTACTTCTTTGTGGCCAGGCTAAAAAGTTGATTTTGCAACGTAATGAACAGCTCAAAAAGTGAAGCAGAGGATGACTCAAAAGAGTCATACACATGCTGTCTTTTAACATCAGCAATCTAGCCCCGCTAATGCAAGAGCCTTCCCCTCTCTCCCACGTTTCTCTGACAGCAGTTTTGAAAAGTACAACTTCATCCTCCCCTCCCTGTGCACCACATGCTGGTGTCTCACTCAGTCCTTACTCATGCAGATTCCAACCCTCTCCCCCAGCCCTCCAGCTTCAATTGATGAGGTGCAGCAGAAGCATCCTGACTATACTTCCAACACATATAGTCCAGATATAAACACATACTTCCAGTTAACTTCCAGATAACACATATACTTCCAGTCCACTTATAGTCTCCAGGTATATCAGCTGTGACTGCGCCTGAATCCATAGGGAACATATCTCACCAAGCTGCATTCCGAATCCTGTGCAGATACAACAGAGTGCGTACTCATGAGCCAGGACACAGAGCCACCAGATATGCCTAGACCATTTCAGCAGGTGCTACATTTCTGCAGGAGGAGTATGTGTAGGCTCAGGCTATTGGCATCTCTTTGCCAAGAAATCCATGTAAGATGCAGCACGTCCAAGCAGTCATTCCTGTTTGAGACCCCTCGTCACCCTGCCCTAAATTTTTCTCTCTTCCTCTCTGCCTAGTGTATGCAAGTGCATATTGCTGTCCTAGGCTTGGTGACAGCAGGAGCCAGAGTTTGGGCAAGGTGGTCCAGGTTTGTCTTGTCTCAGGGCAGGTCAGTGAATTTTAAGATACATCCAACTGACTCAGCAACAAAATTGCTTTCTAAAAAATGATTTTTAAAGATGCATGTGTTGGATTTGGATCTCACCCAGAGTAGTCTGGCTGGTGCAGAAACGCTGGGTCAGTTTGGTTAATGCAAAACTGAACCAGATCCACTGAGATCCTTAGCTGGCTTTGAGGCAGCATAGCTGCTGGTCCCACTGCTCTGTAAAGCTTGTTATGATAAATGGCGTAGCCATACAGAGGAATACCATCAGTTCCCTTCTATATACTGCTCATCTGACTTTTGAAGAACCAAGTACTTCTACTTGCAATGTCTGAGTGGCTTGGCTATAACCCTTTTGGAAGCCTTAGGCATTGTTGAAAACCAATTTTCTTTCTCTTTTCCACCCACTGCCTTGTCTTCTGAGTCAGACAATGCCTGAAAAGAAATGTGAGTGATTTTTTTTTTTTTTGACACAGTGGACTGAGTTTAACAAATGAAAAATCAAACAGAAATAAATTTCAATATCGTGCAGAGTGCTTCTAGGCTAGCTTCAAAGATACTGCAATGCTCCATCTCCGCTGACTTAGCCAACAGCATGCTTCATTTACTTTCTTTGGAGTTACAATTCGGGCATTACTCCTCCATTTCATTGTCAAAGTTGAAATAATGATGCAATTCAATTGAGGCACCTGTTTTAAACAATAATGCTGTAACACAGCATCTCTGCAATAAAAAGGTTTCAGTGAATTAGGGAGGTAACTTCTCCTTTGAGGGAGGAACACAGCCAACAGAGGTTTAGGACATGGAACTGGCTCCAGCACAGTCAGCCCTAAAAACTTCACTGTTGCTCTCTGTAAGGCCTGACCATTTAGGAAACTGGCTCCTTTCTAAATCTCCTTGCTCTGTCAAGCATGTGACATTTGGGAGTTTCTAAGCTCTTGTAGTTTCATAATTTTTTCAATCACTTGAATCCCAAAGGTCCTAAAACCTGTGACTCTCTGCATCTTGCACTTTTCTCCTCATCCTTTCAAGGTGAGAAAAAGTCATAAATATCCACCTCCACCTGAGGCTGTCTCTGGATGCCCTTGGCCTACCTTAAAATCATTTCCCTGTAACCACTGATCTCTTGTGGCTTTCTAAACTCAGCAGTTAGGTCAACAACAAAATTTCCAAAAATAGTACAACCAATAACACCCAATAAAAATAGTCATATGAAGCACTTCTTTTATTCGATGCATGCTGCTGCATGCTGGGGAGAATTATTGGAAAAATGGCCTACACTAAAGTGTTTCCTTCTTCCTTATCTTCTTCAGAAAATTTCTTCAAGATTTGAGTCTGGGTGCCAGTAGAATACTTCTCTAAACTGCAAGATAATCTGTAATGCATCTTGGCCTTGAGCAGCAAACTTCAGAGTTTGTCTGTATTATGGATTTTGAAGACAAAATGAAAATTGTCATTCATTGGTTTATCCGCAAGATTATGTTTCAGCAGCTCTTCTCTGAAGCTATAAGATCAGCTTCCAGTTTCAGTTATTTCACAGTCAGGAGGTAAGCTCATAATGTTCCTTGCAGGTACTATACATTCTGTACATTTATGACTAAACTCTCTTGACTTTGCAAAGACCTGCATTTTCTCCATTTCTGGAGTGAGTCAGGGCAGGATCTGTGCATCTTTTAAACCCAGTTGTAAAAACTGTAGAATGAAGCTTTGCTCCTAGTCGCATTCACAAAATGAAATAATTAACAAAAGTGAAGCAACGGAAGGGATGCTCACTTGTAACATTTGGCTAGCCTTTTTTTTTAATCCCCAAATTGTCATATAGGAAACAATTTTTTAATTTTTTTGGTCAGTAGCACAGGATTTATAAGAAAGGAATCCAAGCTATCCTGTGACTCTGATTCACTTTCCTGAGCCTATTACCATGAAAACTGTAAATGATGCAATAGGCTGTGACTGCTAGCCAAAGGCTCATCATAGAGTCCACTAAGTAATTTATACTGCCAGGTCTGTATTTTACAGTAAATGGAAGCAAGGAACTGTGAGAAACATGCTGTTGGGAAGGGAAAAACAAAAAGAAAGTAAAAGGTGTTTGTAAGTTGACCACACATCTCAAGTGTGCATAAAGCATCTGGGGAGGTGGGCAGGTGAGGAAACCTTTTCTAGTAGAAACCCAGGAAGTTTTATGACACAAGAAAGACCCCTCCACTTACCAGAATCTGACAGAAGTCCTAAATATGTCTGCGTCTGGAAGCTGAAATATGGTAGTGGCCATTAATTGACAGAGGTAAATACAGGCTGCATAGAGCTGGGCTCTGCACTGGGGCACTTAGAGCAGTGGTGGGAGATGCTGAATGCAGTTTGTCAGGAGCAGAATATCAAAACACAGACAGCTCAGGGTAGGATTGCTCCTAAACCATCCTTCTTATTGAGGACTAGACTCAAAAATGGTTAACTATGGAGCCCAGCAATAGCTGGGACCTGGGGAAAGATTTAATTAAGCAAGGGTAAAATAGGCAAAGAAAGGCAAGGGGAAACAGCAACTAGCATGTTGAGAAGATCTTGCTTAAATCCTTTGCAGCACACATAGAGCAGAGGTAAACTGCTTGCAGAGTGTGCCATATCAAGACTGTGCAGCTATCAGGGAGTAATGCTGAGATTTTTAATAAGCAGCACCAGCAGAGTCCCCTGTGTGATTAGGGTATATTTAATGTAAAGGACAATTATTGCAGCACAAGTTCTAATGCAGTGTCCTCTCTCTCTGCAGCACAGCATTATTTGGAGAATTGCTGATGACAGACTCACATTTGCTGTTTTGGCTTCCATTATGAAAAAACCACAAAGGAAAAGCTATGTAGCAAACTACTTTGGCTCGCCATTTGTTAAAATGAATGCAGATTCTTCTGCTGTACTGGGACCACCTCTGCAATTAAAAAAAAAAACCCCATATATATTCCCTGAAGCATACTAAGAAATTCTCCTGAAGTCAAACAGGAAGCTCCAAGAACTTCAGAAGGCAGGCATTGCCTCTCCTCAATTATGACTGTAAAGAAAAGAAGTTTTGATTCCCTTCAGCAACAGAATGTGATCAACAAGGATGCAACAAGCAACAGTTTATTTGTAGAAAAATCCTTTAAAATTTACTACAATGTAAGATTAAGGAAAAAATAGTCTTAATATATATACATACAATATATATAAACAAACACATATCGCACCATGAAAATTACATGCTTTTAAGAACAGAGAATGGGTCATATTCCCTCATATCACTTTAAAAGTTATCACTGCAAGAAACCTTGCTTCCTTTTTTTTTTTTTTATCCCCATCAAAGTGTTCAAGTACAGGAAGTAAGTAATGCAGGATCTAATAATAGAAAACCTTTGTTATACACAAATTACAACTGACAGCTAGACAATATTATTCTGCAGTATCCAACACTCGTATTTTTTGAACTCTATTATAATGATATGAACTTTTACCTGAGGTGCATGGAAATAACAAAGCATGATAATTGGCAAGTTTAAGAGATTTTCACATTATGATTTGACTGTAATTGAAGTTGATTAGGTATCACACCTATACCTATAGTACTGGCACAAGAATGCTCTGCGTGAGTCATCACCAATGACTTGGAAGTGCAGGAAAAATTAACAGGCAAGCACCACTTGCAATGATAAGCATGCAGACAATTTAAGTGAAACAGAGGTAGCATGTTCTTGTAACTCCAGCAGGGTCATTCAAATCAACTGCACCCTCCCTCCTGCAAAAGGCACTCACTTTTTCAGCTAAAAACGATGCACTTAAGTTTGGTCAGATTGACCGCAAATGGTGGATTTCTCTCCTTACAAATATAAAAAGAAGTTAAGCAGAGGACACAGTGAAAAGAAAAAAAAAAGAATGTAAGAAACAGACACATAAGGTACTATGTGCTATTCCTCTCCCCCTACCTTTTATGGGGAGAATTATATAAAACAGTTGCAGTACGTAATCCAAAAGTTAAGACTTTCCAGTTGAAATGGCAGTATTAAGCAGCACATTCTCAATCAGAAATAGTTTTAAACCACCAGAAGTACACCAGTCTTTTTAATAAAGAGCAACAACTCACAGTTAGGAGTAGAAAGTTATGCACAAAAAAGGTGGTGCCAGAGAAGGATCCTCTGATGCAAAAGCTCATAAATTAGTATGCACTGTAACTTTTATACTGTATCTTTTATCCTTTCTGCACTTTGAAAGGATATCCATGCAAAATACCTCCTCTTACCGTGACACTACAGAACTAATTGAGTTGTAAGATGTGCCACTGTTGCAACTGGAGGCATAAGCCTCTTGACCATTAGGATCTAAATTAATTTTGAATACAGAAGATGCCTTCAGTAAGAAATCTGCTGCATCTCTGCGACCTAATTCCCTCAGCTTAGACATTAGTATGCCTACAGTGCTGTCAGGTGCATTACTCCATTCCTGCAGAAGGGCATGAACTGGGCTTGAGAGAAAGTAATTTTGTGTTCCATTATTTGTATTGTATTTTGCAACAAGATCAGGGAGGCCCAGGTTCATGGCAAGAAGGCACCAGTCTTTGCCCATTGGATCAGGTGGATCCAAAAGTCGACTTAGTTTTCTTCTGGTAAGTAGATTCAGATCAGAAACATGAATATCCATTCCTAGGCTTCCCTGGGAGTAAACATCAAGACACCCAAAACACAGTATACTGCTAAAGCTCTCTTTATATCCCCCCATAGTGTTAGTTAGTGATGTCTCCTTTTGACTCTGTGCACGGAAAAAGTCTCTAGGCTGGTAGACCATTACTGGTTCATGATGTTCCCTCAGCTGCTGAGGACTAAGGTAATATTTCCCAGTCAGGAGACCTGGTAAGGTTGTTGCTATTAAGTTATCAATGGTGCTGCACACAGAATCCAGAAGTAAACAGCACTTGATCTTCTCTGTTTCCAGTCCTCTAACTTGAACCTCTATACCCTGCCCATGGTTGACCAGCAGCACTAAAAGCTCAGCTCCACGATTCATAATCTTTGATCCATTTACCCACAGACGTATATCAGCATCTCCCTCTGTGCTCTGCTGATGAATCCACCTGCAGAGATTCACCTGAACTTTATGAAAAATTCCACAAGGAAATGGGGTAAGATGTTCCACAGGAACGATTCTAACACCACCATAAATCAGCACTTCATCCTCCTCATCTGTCCAAGACCTGTGAAGATTGTCAGTCTTTATGAGAGCAGGAATATCCACCATTGCTCCACTGCTAAGGTCCCTTGCACAAATATCCATGGCATCCAAAATCTGTATCAGTTCTTCCACGTCACTATCTGTCACCAGCCGCTGGATGTCCTCTATGGTGTACCGACCTCTGTAGTGATGGAGGGCTTTTGGGTTCTCCACTGACAAGATTTTTCCAAGGACATTAGAACAGAGCCAGCGAGGATCCAGAAGCACAACATCTTGGACAGTTTCACTCTGCATAATGTTAATCTGTTTATAAATATGAAAGTTACTGTTTACATCTTGTGAAATACAAGATGATAGCCCACCTTCTCGCCATCCTAACAGACTGACCCGACATTTTGATTAAAACTGCTCAGAGGAAAAAAACAACAGTGCATTTAAACATATGGCAAATACTCAGAACAAAAACCAGATCTTGTTGTTATTTTCCACTAGTAATGAGATGACTAGAGCCCAACAGCTGGAAAGCCTAGTCATGCCCTGGAAGCTATTTATGCAAAGGTATTATCCTACTACTCAATTTCCAGTGGACACATATAAATCTCTCATATGCAGTGAATACTTCATTGAAGGTGATAACATAGTGATCCTTTCTGGGTATTTTATATTCTTATAACTATAGCAATAAACTGTAATTGTTCCTGTCTCAAAGAGATTCCTTTAACAAAATAGAAGCCACAAGACATAATGATAACAGAAAGTGGTAATAAGCATTCTCTACTTATGATGTCTTAAGAGGAAGAGAAAAAAAAACAAACAAATTTGGACATTTGCTTAAATTCATAAAGAAATATTCTACCAGAACAGTATCTTGCAAATAAAGAAATGTAATTTAGATAAAAATACTTACTTCTCCTATGCTATGCAACTGCTGTGCAATATGCCGTAGGTCATTTTCACTTGCTAGGGGATTAAGATGTTCCTGTACATCATACACAAACTGCTGCAACGACATCAGCTGGTTGGGCCCATTAATTTTTCTCCAGGAAGGCAGTGTGGAGATTATTTTTTCACATAGGTGAGTCATAGGTGGGCAAGTCTTAGAAAAGCACAGAAAACATCCACTTGAGAATAGTGGTACTATTTTTTTTTTATATGGACGTCTACTCCATTTATAATGAATATTCAGATCTAAAGAGCTCCCTTTGGGCTGGACCCTTACTCTTTCATGTGGCATTCACTTGCCATAAGATCTATCTACCTTTTCTTAAAAAAGTTAATTGCAGAAACTAGTTTTTCACTGAAATAAGCAAATTTTCCAAATATCACCATGAGTTGCCATCATGCATCTGTAAGTTAATGCTTATTTCTGAAATTATGAGAATTTATTTAGAATATGTACTCATCAATATCTTTACAGGACCAATTTACTTCAAAAGGTGAGACAGCAGGGTACTAAATAAGAAGCAAAAATGGTACTTTGATGTATTGATTGCCTTAGACTTCACTGATGCCTTCTTGCTCATTCTCAAGCTACAGCCTCCACTGCTTATGCAGTAAACCCCTTCAGATTTCAAGCTAGTGACTATAGCTATAATAAAGCTTACAAAATCAAGAGACCATCAGAAATGTAAAAAAGACTGAATTTTGCATGAATCTAAATATTTTCCTCAACCCACAGAATTAACTCAGTAATACATCCACTTTTTAATCAATTACAAAAAAAAAATGTTTCAAAAGTAGCTGCAGAAAATCTTGTTGGTGTGTAACGTGATATTAATCCATTTAGCACAGGCTACAAAAAATTTGACTTGGTCACCCTTATTATGGAAGTCTCCATGGATTCATGGTGATAACATCAGAAACCATGGCTACATTTTACCTTTAGTCTCATATGCATATCCCTAACATACAGATACAACTGCAAGCAATATTTTTCAATTAAAAAATGCAGTCAAAAGTTAATACATATTCAGTTTACATAGCCATATTCAGTTTACCTATCCATATCTGGAATTATCTTTCTAACAGTTCAGAAAACTATTCTACTCTGGTGGGTTTATAAGTGAAAAAACTTATTTTCCTGAAATATATTTATAATGTATTTCTCTGTTTCTCTATAATATTATGCTGAGTTAAAAAAAAAAAAAAACAAACCAAAAACAAAAAACAACCAAAAAACCAAAAGGGGGACCAATACTGGAATCCAATTACTGCCAATAAAAAACGAAAATTTTTACTTTAAACTGATATCTTAGATTGTCTCCTTTCAACAGAGAGTGTTTTGCTCATCTGCTTGAAAGAGCTACTATTTTCAAAATGCTGACTGAATCTTTGATGTCAAGGCTTTGTTTATCACAAGACCTGTCAAGTGTGCTGTTACAACATTGGAACAACAGTGGTTTCTGTATGCTTCATTATTCTAAGTTTGAAATTTACAGTAGATCATTACACAAGACAAGTTCACATTTTGGCTCATCCAACTCAGAGTATTAGACACTACTTACGGAAATTATCTGGCTTCTTATTTCTTGCAAGTGATTTCGGAGCAGCTTCATATCTTTAGACCCGGATGCTCCAGCATCCAGGACAAATAACTTTTCTGAAATTTGCAAATCATTTCCAAATCTAAACAAAAATAATTATTATTAACTTAGCCCCAAATCCAGTTTATTTCTTAATACAATTGTACTTCAGTCTTACATTATACTAGAGTTGTTTTTCCTCAAGGAATGATGACGTTTAAGTAATGATTATACTGAGATATTTTATAAGCACAGACACTATAGTTGCTGTGTAATTTTCTTGAAAATAAGCAGAGGTATTGAGAGAAAATTGTTTTCTCTCAGGATGAAGAGTGAGTATGTGTAAGAAAATTGTAACTGCATCACATGACCTGTAATTACAAACCAAAACATTTTACTAGAGAAGAGATTACAGGAATTTATTTGTTTTAAGGTCTTAATGTCTGTTGCTTGCTTTCTTCTCACTTTAAATAGTTCAGTAGTCATTGCTGTTGACAGCTCTCTCTCCACTTACTTTCGAGTTTCCAACCACCCAAGCCTGCTTGCCTAGCTCTGGAGATGTGCATTTAAGAGCACTTACAAAGATGACACACAGGTATTTTCCTATTGGTTTATTTCAATTGGTTAAGATACTGCCCCCCTCTACAACTATTGTGCTGGAATTCCTACATCTGTTTCTTGTGCAGCCCAGACAAGTGTCCATATTTGCAGGCATGGATGATTTCTCATACCCAGTGTTTCCCACTTACATGCTCACTCTGAATATAAGGCATTGTTACTTTAAACAATTGTATGTTTATGGAAAATTTCCCATTTCCATCTACCATTAGCATGTGGTCCAGATATTTGCTGAAGAATGCTATAAGTTTCGCTAACCTCTGTGTCCCTCTTGGGTGACCTTGTCACCTTGTGACTCCACAATGTCCAGCTTTTTGCAAACTGTGTGGAGAGTTCTTACAGACCTCATTTAAGTTTTTTTCATAGCTATCCTAAATCAGTAAAGAGCTAAGGGTAGTTCTCTGGTAAAGTTTCCTTTTTTGCATCCAAAGTTTTTAGCTGCAAATGGCCTGCTTTTCTGAGACCGGTACAAAATCTGAGAAGCAAGATGTTAGACAGAAAGTTGGAATGGGTCTTTGGATGTAGCCCAGTGTTTACAGGGTGAGACTGCCTACATGACAATTAATTTTGACACCACTTGGCTCATTTTAGCTCACTCAGGGCAGCTTACTCACTGTAATATTGGTAAATGTTTCAATTTTAGCACAACATATGCTTCCTGAACATATTCAAAATATCATAATATATAAGACATATAAAAACCTTTTACCTCTTTCAATGCATTTTGGTATTTTTCTTTCTGATTAGCATGTTCAAACACTATGTATAAATATACTTCCCACTTACCTGTTCCTGATTTCTTTCAACAGAGAGATGTCTTTGTCATACCAGAACTCTCCCCCAACAGGCCGGGGCAGATTCACTATGTCAGCATGCGTGGCAACCAAAACAACACGCAGGGGACTTTTCAGCTTTCCACCAAACGCTAGAAGAGAAACAAGAGGACTCCCTCACTATGAGGCATGCCTATGGAGATGGCTGATACTGACCCAGAAAAGCAGAAATACATTTCACATTCTTCATACCAACCAACCACTTTTGTAGTTATTTACCAACTCTAAGCACAGCCATTCAACAGTGTAACTGCTGATGGTCTGGCAATTATCTGCTTGTAGGACTGTGTATATAAGGCCCAATTTTAATAGCTAGACAATTTGAATAACATCAGATACATTTATATTGTGTTACTTTATTGCTTTAAAACACTAGTAATCAGCAGCACTAATGATATAGCTACTAACTACAAACGATGATAGTGTGAGGGGAACAAAATTAGAAATAGCAGCTTTTTGAAAGGATTTTGCATAATCTTTGCATAGTTCTTAATATTACAGATGCAGAATAGAATATTGTAAGAACACAAAATGTCTACAACATTCATATGTTGATATGAATGCTATTTTGCAGTACTTACACAAACAATGACCTCTCACTTAGGTGAGAGTTAAGTAGGAAAGCCTGGCAGAAGCCATGAAAAAGAATGAGAAAGAAAGAAAGATTCAAATGGCATGAATGAGGCGACAGTACAGAACACAGAGTTTTCAGTCTTTTCTCAAACTCATATTCCAGAAATTAGAAGACTTCATTAAACTATTTTTAAAAGAGACGGTACACCCAATTATGCTCTTTTAGCCTTAAAAAAAGGTCACATGGGAGAAGCATGCTTACATCACTGCTCACTTCTGATCAACTAGGAGCTACATAATCTTGATTAATTCATAAAAAGCCACATTTCCCCAAATCTCTGCATAACACTTTCAGGCAAGTATTTTGCAATTATCTTCTTTTTATTTTCCTTTTTAATTGGCAGCTAAGGACTTAGACAAAATAACTGGAAAGTAATT